CCGAGCAGGGGTAGCAAAGGAGCCGCCCCCCCCAGCCCAGCCGGGGACAGACGTGGGAGGCTTTTCCAGGCGGAATGCAGAAGACATATTGAGTTGAAAAATTTAAAGTGGGGAGGGGGCGGTAGAAACGTTAACCGGCCCTTCCTCATCCCAAACAAGGAAAGTGAAAAAGTCTTCTGGGCTAAAAATACATATTTCGAAAGTCCCTGTGCGCAGGCGGGCGGCGCGTTCCAGCTGCTGGCCTGGCCCGGTAGGACTTGGCCGCGCGGCCGCCGCTTACACCCAGCTCGGCCGGGATGGCTCCGAGCCGTCTGCCCTGACGTCAGCGAGGCTCCGGGCCCCGCCGCGGCCAGATAGGCGAGCGCGGCCGGGCGCGGGCGCGGCACTGATCACTCCCAGATGTCCCTAATAGCGGAGATAAAGACGGACAGAGCGGCCGGGAATAAATTTGTAATCAGGGCTCTACCATCTGATCATCAAAGCGGCCCAAATGCCGGGAGAATTTGGAGGGAATGTGTGCGTAGGGGGGTCGCGTTTGGGGGAGAGGCAGGGGGCGCGTTCCTCGATGGGAAGTGGCGCGGGGAGAACAGGGAGAGAAGTCTGTGACTTCTGTGCGCACGTGAGTCCGATGCCCCGTGCGCTTCAGCCACCATCAGCCCCGCGGTCCGCAGCCGCCCGGCGCTTGCAGGCTCCTTAGAAATGCGCAGGCAGCTGCTGGGCGAGAGGCACGCGCGGCGCCGCGGCCGGGTGGGCCGGCGGCGAGCTCAGAACTGTCCACCCCGGAAACACGGGATCGCTTTCCTTTCCCGAGTTGGCCCCCCTCCCACAAAGTTAAAAAATACGCCGACCCCTTCCTCCCGGTAGACATAACCCCCACGACAGGAATTCATTGCACGACGGAGCTTCCTCAGGGAGGGGACTGTGGGGCCTCCAGCTGGGGTCCCGAGCCCCACTCTGAAAGCGGCTTCTGGGTATTTTTTCTCCGAGGGATTCGCGGGCTCAGACAGGCCAGGAGCCCTGTGCGTTCGGGAGACTCGTTAGCGCCCCCTCCTAGAGCAGAGGTCTGGACCGTAGGAGCTGGGCCCGTGGGAGGCAATGAGTTTCCGCAGATCAACAGTTCCAGAAAAGACAGCCAGAGCCCACGGTCCAGAGCTAGCCCTCGATGGGGCCCACGCCACGAGCCTCCTTCCAGACAATCTCCTTTCGGCACCCACCAGGCAATCCCTTTTTCAAAGCCAGGCGTGTGGCTGGGACTCACAAGCAGGGGGAAGGCGAGGCGGCTGCAGAGGAGAGGACCTCGAGCCGCGCGCAGTTAGACACAGCTTTTGGTTAAAGCGCCAGAAATAACTGAGCGGCTTCCCGCGCTTTGTAGACCCGCGGTGCAGATGCAGTCACGGCTTTCGTAGCATCCTTTCCTCGGTTTACTGTCCCCTGCACACACACCTCAGGCCCTCACAACTGTCTGGGGTTCACTCTGTAGAGCTCTCTTCTCCAAAGGAGCTCTCAGACTTCCTTCTGTTCCCTGCGGCTTTGTATTTGAGCTCACTCTCATCTTCTGTACCCCTTCCTGCGAATTCTGTGTGCGCCTAACTCTCTCTCGCCCGTTACCTTAACACCGGGGTGGGAGACTAGCTCCACCAGTATCGTAGGTGAGCAGAGAGAATGGAGCCCACCTGCACTCCCTACTCGCGCACACACGCTTTCCAAGGGGCCGGGAGGCTGCCCTTTCAGGAACCACTGCTGCATCCGCCTCATCTCGGAGACAACCGGGCCGCCTGGTCCTCCCACAACTGACGAGGGCAGCCTAAGCCGGGAGGCCCATGCTTCCTAGATGCGGAGCCTACTGACTACCTCACCCGGAGGTTGGAGTTTCACACTGAGCCCCCAGAGGGTGACCCCTGGATTTAGAAGGCAAGCAGAACCCCAAGTGATCTTGCTGTCATCTCAGCCTGACAAAACCCCTAAAGTTGCTGTCAGTGCCCTGGCTGGAGGCGAAAGTCCTGGAAAATTGTGACTGGGAGCAGAGGGTGTCTTCCCAAGCCAAGAATGGGTCTGCAGAAACACACACACACACACACACACACACACACACACACACACACACTCAACCACAATGGGCCGAGCCCTTGCCCTGCTGGTGCTCCAGGGTTATCAGGCCCTCGGCCTGTGAGCCGGTCTGGGGCCCAGCCCTGACAGCCAGATCTACCATCAATTTACCTTCCGCCGCCCCAGCTTCCCATTTAGCTTTTAACGTCAAATCCTACATTTTTGTCGGCTCCGGCCTGTCTAGAGCGCTTGTGATTTCGCTGCAGGAGTGATTGCTCTTAACAAAATGGCAGCAACCACATTATCCCCGCAATTAAAACAGAGGCTTTTTAGCCATTCCAGCAAGCAGGAGATTGGAAACTTTTTTTAACAAAGGAGAAAGGGAGTTAAAAGAGAAAGAAGTGTGTAGAAAAGAAAAGCATGGAAGCAGAAGAAATGCCTGCCTAGCATGCCGGTCACTTCTCTGGGGTTTGACAGTGTGGGACAAGAATGTTGAGCGACTGGGAGCGCTGGGACAGTTGGGATGTCCAGGCGACTGGGGTGATGGATAATCTAGGGTGTCCTGCTGGTTGAACTGTCTGGCCAGTTGGGGTGTGCGTCTGACTGGGGGGTTTGGCCGCTTGTGGTGTCAGGGCAGCTGGGGCATTCGGCTGGCTGGGGTGTCGGGCTGTTGGATGTCTGGCCGGTTGGGGTTCCTGGCGGGTTGGAATTGCAAGGACGTTGTGGTGTCCAGGCCTGCTGCTGCGGGGCCCGAGGAAGCCGCGCGCAGGAGGGAGAGGAGGCGGGGAGTGCCTGGCCCGGGCCAGACAAAGAGGCTGGGTGTCTGGAGCGCCGGTTTAAAATTATGTGTATTCGCTGCTCCATAGCCACGGTGCACCAGGGTCTTTTGGTTCCCCTCTGTTGATGTTTAATAAACAAGAAAAAGTGTTAAACCAGCAGAAGTGGGTTAAGGACCAGATGGCAAAGACTAGCTATCCAAGGTATGCACAGGCATGTGTGCATGGTGAAGATACCTCCTTTCTGGTTCTTGTTTTTAAAACCTCACCTCCTCCACCATGGTTAACTCCAACACTTTGGCAGACTCCTTTCTTCCACCTCTAGGACCTGGCGTCTCTGTCCTGAGCAGAAGGCTGCGGGAGGCAGGAGAGGGAGGGAGCCAGGCGGTGAAACAGACAGGGATCGGGAGAGCCACAGAAAATCAGGGCGCGCCTCCCCCCACCCCAGTGCTATAAACAAAGGCAAGTGTCTGTAAACATAGCCCCGCGCCCACCAGGTCGGCCCAGCGCCGGTTGACCCGAGGGGAGAAAGTTCAGATCGCTTTGGCCGAGTTGTTCTAACCCCTCGCCCTCGCGTTGTCAGCCACCCGCAGAAGTCCGCAGGGCCACTAGCTGGTCTCTCTTTCGGGGCACTTGCGAATTCGCCTACGTTGGGCCTAATCCAACCCGCTGCAGGCGGCGGGGGTCGGAGTGGGCACCCACGGAGGCCTGGGAGCCCTTTGGAGCCCTGGGAGGGAGACCCGCAGGAGGGTCTGTGCCCGCAGCCGAGGTGCGAACATCAGCCCGAGGATGGGTTTCAAGATGGAAACCCTCTGGCTAGCCTCTCCAACACCAGATTTATATACGTGGCGTTTCATGAAATAAACCGCTTTTTAATACGTTTCACCTTTCTCCCCCCCCATTCCTCCCCCTCCTGTCCCCTCCCCCTCAGCCTGCAGAGTCAGTTCTTCATGACACTTCAATTCCTCTAGTTTCTAGAGCAGAGATTCAAACTCTAGCCAAGTCCTCGGGCAAAGAAAGCTGCAGGGACTTTCTTCCGGGTCGTGCTGGGACTGGGGGAGACCAAAACCTCCGACTGGGAGAAGTCCCTAGGGCAGCCGGTAGCCTGGGGAGGGTGCCGCTTGCTCCGCTGGGCTGCGGCCGGTTAGACTTCAGACACCGCACAGTTAATATTGAGTTCCCTGCAACTCCTTGTAAATCTAACCCACCCCTCAGCCCCTTTAAATCCGTGGTCTTGTTCGCGATTTCTTACTTGACGTAAAGTTCCTTGTTACCTAATCATGGGCTTTTTGGAAAGGCCCCCTCCCTCCTCACCCAGCCTACTCAGATAAGAATCCCCCGATCTAGGCTACAAGCAAAACCTTCGCTCTTCTCTTCTTTCTTGAATGTAAGCCCTATATTTTGAATTAAACACCCCAGACTTTCCTGTGGCTTTAATAATGCCTGGGATCCTCCTCACACCTCCTCCACCGAAAATGTGCTCTCCAAACAAAAAATTCCACCGAACAGCATCTGATTGATTTCAGAAAAACAAGGACACCTTTCCATCTTCTGAGCAAACTACAGGCCGTTCTCCAGCCCAGACCCCCCCGTGCTAAAGACCTCTTAGCATTATCCTGGGAGCTGAGGGGAGGAGGGAAGGAGACACGGCTCACACAGAGCCCAGGCCCTTTTGCAGGATTTCACCCAGGCCACGTCTCTTTAAAAGCATCTCCTCACCCTGCGTGGACTGCAGGTCATGTCGATTGGTTGCAACCACTGACTCTTTAAAACAAAATTAGAGGCAATCATGATAATTTAGTTTACTTCTGAATATTTTAAATATTATGAAAAAAAGTATAACAGATTTGTTTTCAAAACTCTCTTGAGGTATCAACTATTCAAAGATTAGGGTTTTTGTAAAAAAACACACACAGTGGTTTATTGAATACTTACAACGTTTACACCTTCAATATTAATTAAATTCCACTTAGCTTTAGAGGACGGAAGTGCACAAAACAAGTAGCTGTTGGAAACATCTTTGAATAGGGAACGACCACAGATGAAACGACAGCACTAGATATCGACCCTGACCGAAATGTTAGCGGCCCTGTTTTCTGCTTTGAAATAAAACTTTATAATCCCCAGGAATATTTATATCCAAAGGCCAAGTACTAAAGATACACTTCACATATGCACTAATGTCCGCTCTCTTTATCTGGAAGGGGTTGGGTGGGGGGCAGGGGGCAACGCTGGTGTCTACACAGCCAAAAGGAAACATTCACACACAGAATCTACGAGACGACGGGATCCCTTACCACGCAGGAGTGTCCTCTTCATATTAAAATATGGAATGCTTTTCTTCAAATATCCACTTTTTTTGGAGGGGGGGTGGGGATCGGATGCTTCAAAGGGGGACAAAGAGAGGGGAAGGAAATTGCACATAAATAAACCGGATGATTCCAAATGCAAGTAGTCCTCAGAGCGGAGCGCAGAGGGCTTGCCCGGAGTCCTGGGTCTGCATCTGGCGCCTCGGCCCCGGCTCACTCGCGCTCTCCTCCTCCTTCTCCTCCTCCTCCTCCTCACTGCTTGAGCTCCAGGGCCCAGACGTGCTGCGGCCAGCCCGTCCGGCCTTTGGTTTTCTTGTCGTTGCTGCTCACTGTGCTTTTCAAGATTTCGTTCTGGGGAGGTGAGGGCGAGAAAAGTGGAAAGAGAAAAATTCAGAGAGGATACCTGGTCCCACACCCCCCCAGCGCTTCCTGAGCCAGAGGAGACAGTGAGAGAGGGAGGAAAGGACAGGAGGAGGGATAGTTCCAAGTCCCAGCCCCTGCAGAAAAGCTATGAAGGTTTGCACTGCCCTAGCTGCAGCCGAGGCCTCCGTGCTGCAAGGCTCAACTACCGGATCGTCAAGTTTATAAACAACCGTCTTTTTTCGAGTCGTTTATGGAGGAGCTGGGAGCCTTTTTTCTGATTCCAGATGTAGGGGCGGGAGTGCGGTCGGTGCTAAATCTGTTTTCTCTGTATTCAGTAGAAATCTCGGATCTGTGCTCCAGGAAAACTGGGGCGAAAGCCCCTCCGGGCTGGCGTGGGCCTCTGTCTCACCAGTGCCTCTCCTCCAAGGCCTCTGTAATCACTGATTTTTTGGGAGGTCACTGGATTGTTCAGCGACCAAAGGGCTGCAGGCCCCAAAGAAGAACAACTCGACAAATGGAATTATTTTCCAGGCCTTTCCTGGAGATAGCCCTGTCCTGAAAATCATCGTCCTATGGGCATTTGGTAGGAACCTGAGAAAACTTTAAACGACTGCGTATAACTTCATGTTACTGTTAATAACAATGACCACAGTAATATTAACTTTTTTGGTCTTAAAATGTATACAGGTTCATTCAAATAAAGCTAGAAATATCCATGTAGTATATTCATCTGGGAAATTACATTTTAAAGTCAGCCAAAGAAAAATTTGAGCTGTACTTTGGAGTTAAAAGTACCTATTTTATGTTTACCTTTACTTCTTCCAGGCATAGTAATAAGAACAACCACAAGACTCTCTTAGAGCTCACAATGAGCAGCAGCCTCATTCTCAGGGAAGGGGAAAAGCGATCAGTAATGAAATAATCGGGATAGAGAGCTTCTGGGCTACTTATTTTAGATATCTGAAAGCAAGAGCGGATTGGAGGCTAAACGAAGGCTGTAACGGATACGGGATTAGGAGTCTGGGCCAGTGCGATCCGGAGATTGATCAGGACCAGGAATTTGCAAGGCCGTCCTAAGTGCCCGGGGGAGCGGCGATAACCCAGAGGAAAGATCACCGGCGAGAAGCACCCCTCTTAACCTTATCCTTTCCCTGCTGACACCCTCCCCCGTCTCCTCTGCTTATACAGGAAACTGTCCGTACCACAACCTGGTGCAAACAACCTTGGCGCGGGAAGCGGCCAGAGAACGCGGGATGCCATTTCTCAGCCCAATGAGAAAGAGGCCGGGAGCACCCGTCCCCTGAGGCCCGCACTCCCACCGCCCACTGCCCCCTGGTACTAACCAGCTCCTTCTTCCTCTTCTCCTCTTTCACGTCTGTCTTCTTGATCTCCGCCTTGAAGGCCTCCGCCTCGCCGTTCTGGTCGTCCTTGGCCAGCAGGTCCATGAGGTAGGCGATGTAGCTGGTGGCCAGGCGCAGCGTCTTGATCTTGGAGAGTTTGGTGTCGGCGGGCACGTTGGGGATGCACTCGCGCAGTTCGGCGAAGGCACTGTTGATGCTCTGAGTCCTGCGCCGCTCCTTTCAAAGTGCGGGCACCTTGGTTCCCTGAATCTATGGTGTGGCCGGGATCGGTGTCCCCCTGGTTTAACTAGCCTGTTTGGTAAGTAACTGAATATTTTTTACAGCGTGTTCAGAGCTTATTTTCCAGTTTTTATGAACAAACATATAAATATATCTCTGCATTCCTGCCTTCCCCATAAAAGCGGGCATCTGTGGAAAGCAGGTTTAGTTATCGGAAGGGAACCATTAAACGCCAGTTTAAGAGGCAGGCCGGGAGGACGGCTCGTGGATGTTTAGACTGCTGGTCCTGGTGATCTTGAACGCATTATAACGGAAAGCGGATCGCCACTCGTAAGTCCCCGGGCCGCGGGGCACCCAAGCCGCGGCGCCCGCGTGGCGTGAGCATCTTGAGAAGGCCACAGGCGGCGAGGGGGCGGGGAGAGATGGTCAATGGCAGGAGCCGAAATCACCCTTGAGGCTCGGCCCCGAGTAGTGAGGGGAGGCTGATGTGTAAATGAGGATTCTGCCCCGATAGAGTTTGGTGTGGAAAAGGGTGTCAACAGGAGCCCGCAGGCTGTAAATTAGAGGGCAGTGTGTGCAGAAGCCGGCGCGGGCCAGGGCAGCGCGGGGCCTGGCCACGGTAGCCGCAGGGAGACCAGTGACTCCACCACAGGCATGGCCCCTTGGAGACAGGCTGAGTCCTACGCAAGAAGACGGTTCTTTCTCTGCCGGCAGTCTCCGGCCGCCGGCTACGTGGCTTGGGCTGGAAGACGAGATCAGCGTGAATCGAGAGCGCCCAACGCTGGTGCTGCCCTGGACTCGGGGCCAGGTCCTGCCTGCCACTAACCATGGAGACGTGGGCAGCAGCACTAAGAAAAAAAAAATTTTTTTAAAACATTTGCCGAGGCTGGGCGGTAGGAGAAACGAGTTCGTACAGGGTCCGCTCTTTCTCCTAGTAAGGGGTCAATTTCCCTGGACGCCCTCAGCAGAGCGTCTTAAGGCAGAGAAAACAGGGGCCGAGGAAAAGCTGAAACCGGGCTTGTTGGTAGGTGCTGGCTGGAAACTTGCATTTGGGCTTGGAACAAAATAGACATCAACGTCCCTAACTCCCCAACGTGGATGGGTCTGCAGTTTTGAGCACAAGGAGAGTCTTTTAAAGACCTGTTTTTTTCTGGGGAGGAATACAGGTAGTGTGGTCGGGGTTCTGTTTACATTTTCAACGGGAGGCAAACCCTGAATATGTAAATACCGGTAGTTCAATTCTCTGACATTCGATACATTAAAAAAAGTCTGTTTGTAAAATCACTTTTAGGCCTTGGGAGCAGGTAGACAAAGTGAGATTGTTCCAGGGCTAGGAACAGATAAACTTCAGGGAAAGTAGTCTGTTGGCTGCTTTCAGACCCAGACAGAGTTTTGGAGATCAACGCGAGTGCAGATGAGGGCTGGCTTGGGGACTGGGATGCTATGTCCACCAGAAGTGAGAGGCCTCAGTTGTGAAAGCTTCAGAACTTGCCACTTCTAGCCTTTCTCATGCTCTTTTAATTGAAACAAAAAATGAGTGAATAACTTCATAACCCCAGATGGCATTGCAAGTGATAGAAGAATTGGACAACATGGGACAGGAAAAAGTCATAGTAGATGCATCTGAACATCAGGCCTCACTGAAGCATCATTATCAGTTGACTACAATGGTCTAGGGCTCTAAGGCTTCATGCATCTCAGAATTCCAAACCCGGAGGCTAAAGCCTGAGAAAGGCAGCCTGTGGGCAGGTTGGAGAGAGGGACTAATAGGTGAACTCTGGTGTTGCCTCCAACTGTAGTAACTGATTCAGGGAGGCCAAGCCGGCCTTGACCAGCTGAGCTCGACCCTGTATACACAAGCAAACACATCTACATTTTCCTTTTAGTGTTCTTTGGTGTGTGTTGCTCTCTGTAGCTTTCCTGAGATTCAGAGTTAGCCTACTGCTTTGGAAAACTGTGAGGCAAACATGCCATTTCAAGTTTGCCCCCAATTTAAGTGCTGTGCATCCTCAGGATGGTAGTGCTGAAGGTGATGGTGGTGGTGGTGATGGAAGAGAGGCTAGTGCCATTGATGAGGGGGAAAGTGGGAGAAGAAAGGAAGGGTGCAGTCCCTGACTTAGGTAGCAGCCTGGGGACCTCACCCCTGGCTTGTACCAGCGTGGCCACTGGTGCTGTACTCTCCAAAGGGCACATATTCAAAGTACTCTTATGACCCAAGGAATTGCTACAATGCTGGCTGGGAACACCCTGGGTGCCTGTGGGTGAACTCTGGTGTTGCCTCCAACTGTAGTAACTGATTCAGGGAGGCCAAGCCAGCCTTGACCAGCTGAGCTCGACCCTGTATACACAAGCAAACACATCTACATTTTCCTTTTAGTGTTCTTTGGTGTGTGTTGCTCTCTGTAGCTTTCCTGAGATTCAGAGTTAGCCTACTGCTTTGGAAAACTGTGAGGCAAACATGCCATTTCAAGTTTGCCCCCAATTTAAGTGCTGTGCATCCTCAGGATGGTAGTGGTGAAGGTGATGGTGGTGGTGGTGATGGAAGAGAGGCTAGTGCCATTGATGAGGGGGAAAGTGGGAGAAGAAAGGAAGGGTGCAGTCCCTGACTTAGGTAGCAGCCTGGGGACCTCACCCCTGGCTTGTACCAGCGTGGCCACTGGTGCTGTACTCCCCAAAGGGCACATATTCAAAGTACTCTTATGACCCAAGGAATTGCTACAATGCTGGCTGGGAACACCCTGGGTGCCTGTGGGAGGAATCCTAGCGAGGGGCACTTCTCTCCCTCTTCTCTAAGGAGGTGGAGGCTGAGGCCGAGCCATAACAAGCCTTATCCAGGTCCAGAGACTGCTTCACAGAGAGGCAGCCTGGATTTGGGTGAGTGTTTGTGATTCTGTGTCCACAGTCTTCCTTGTAGCTGATGGTGCACCCCCTGTGCTGCCTGTTAAGTCTGTCTCCAGACAAATAGAACCAGCTACAAAGATTTATTTTGCACCCAGGTCTCTTTCCCTTCACTCCCACCGCTTCCCCTGGAAAAGATTCAAAGAGCAGAGGAGAGGCTGAGCACTCCCTTGCAAACATTTTGGTCTTGTGAGATATTTCTTTAAACATCAACCTAGTTTTAGTGAAATACTTTTTAAAACTTAAGTCCATTTTAAGGGAAAATACAGATCGTTTTGAGGTATTTATTATTTCAAAGACAAGGGCAGTTTGTATCTTGTGTTTTGCTCATGATAACTCAAAATAAACTGGACCTGAGAAGAGCCAGGCCAGAGAGCCATAAACACACATTTTATATTTACGGGAATCATGGCTCAATTCCTTTCATCATCTTTCAAATCTTGTTTTACCTTGTTTTCCTGACCAGCATAGTAGAACTGACTCTGAGCATTCCTTTAAATATCTGTAATGCTCTTATATAAGGTGAACCCTAGAAAATGCTAAGAACACCAGAAAAAACACCAAACCTGGATGGTGACAGAAAAAGCATTGTGTACTTAAAGAGGTAACCTCAACCCCATGGGACAGTGCTTCTTGGGACACTGATGGCTCTGTATTCCTTTCTGTACTATGGTGGGATTGAGTCATTTTGTGTGATAGCGTCTTAGTCCCAGAATGTTTAGGACACCCAGAACAAGGCATTTTGTCTGAGTGGCAGCCAGGGTCTCCCTCTAACTGGGGTTTTGCAGTTCTTCTCTTTCTTGTCTTCCTTTTGAGAAATAGTTGTTTACAGACATGGCAAGTGACAAGTGGCTGTGGAAATGTGGTGCTTCTTGAAGTACACATCTACAAAGCAGAATCAAGTTCGATTGGACTTTTATGTCTATTTTGAAAATGAAGGGCAGGAAAAGCTACCCTTGACTCTTATGAGGTTTTATTTCTTCTGAGCAATTTCTTTTTTGAATTTTGGGGTGGGAGCAGGGTATTTGGGGGGTGACCTCTCTTCACCCCTCTTCCCCATCCAGAGCAGATCTGTGGAGATGGAGCAGAAGGGGCTGGTCCAGCTGTAATGATGGCTGTGGAGGGGCTGACTGCTTATGAGTCCTTCAATCCAGTTCTGATTAGAAAACTGTTAAGTCAGTGGAGAAAATCAGGACTTGCTTAATGCCTGTACATTCCCGTCCTTATGATGGCTGTGGAGGGGCTGACTGCTTATGAGTCCTTCAATCCAGTTCTGATTAGAAAACTAAGTCAGTGGAGAAAATCAGGACTTGCTTAATGCCTGTACATTCCCGTCCTTGTCTCTCTGCCCTCTCTCCTTCCCTCCCTCTCTCTTCCTTGTAATTTGCCCTCCAGAAATGTTTGGATTTACAAAGTTTTTCCTGTCACTGAACCTGAGACTGATGTAGAAGAATGAGATACTGGTTCATCCTTAAGTCCTTTAAGAAAAATCTTAATATCCAGTAGAATCTCCATTTTCTCCAAATAACTAATGAATAGATCCCCATATTAGCTGGCATATATGTTGCTGCTCTGAAGGGTTTACATTGTTAAGGGAGAACTAAATACTTTGCCAGATAGGCAAATCTGTCTGTAAAGCTAAAATCTTAGCCAGACTAAAGGGAACATAAGATAATGCTGGGAAGGGCCTCACAAAGGCAGCTTGAGGTACATATATATATATATACACACGCACACACACACATATATGGGAGGTGTTATTAATGTTATTATACTAGTCCTAAGGGGTACGGTAAATCTGATTTTTGCTAATCTGTGCTACTTTGTAGTAAAATAATAGAGTTTAAAGCAAAGGTAGCATAAGAAAATACACCCCATGGGATTTATGTTAAATATTTATTTGCATTATTGTTTCAGGCACATTACATACACCCTGGCAATATTCTCTTCCAAGTGACAGGAAATCATTTAACATTCAGATGAGTAAGTAAGTGATTTTTTTGCATACATGCTCTGTGGAAATAGTAAGTAATGAACTTCAACTAGCCTGCAGTGTAGTCTGGGATTTAGAATAAAATATGAATGCAAATGGCAACTTAAAATTTGGGGCCTCGGAGGAATCATTTATGTGACTGACAGATTTGCTTGTGACTTGAGGCCCCTGAACATTTCCAGTTCTAACTGCAGTGTCGCTCACATTCCTGGGAAGTCCTGTTCTCTAGCTTCCTTTGCAAATCCACATAGATGAGTTTCTTCAGCTTGGACAGTTTCTTCCCAACGTTTTCTACATTTTTCTAGGGGCTTTGCTTATAGACAAGGGACTTGAGCCAGGATGGTTAGGTTTCAGGTTAACAAAAAGAAACACTTTTATTGTCAATATTAATGGCAAACATCGATTTTTACAAGGCTTGTGTTTAGCAGCATGAACAGATCAAAAGCAGCTTGGCTTGATTTCTCAATATTCTCTGGAGCTTAGACAATTAACTGCAATTTTGCTCCTAACGAAAAAACACAAAAAAGTTAGTTACAGAAATATTAAAGTTAGTCTTTTGGCAGAGATTTTTACCTGTGTACAAAACATCAGAATCTAATAAATTTACCCACTGAACTATGAGTTTTGAAGGAAAACAACTTAAGAAAATGTTGTGTGAGCAGCGTGTCCTCATTTGCAATGCCATGAGCCTGTTTCAATACGTGCATTCCATGCTTGCCTTTCTGGCTGCGTAAGGATCCGGCAGACTGAGGTCTCCCTGGTAATTTGGGTACACCGAGTCTCCAGTTAATGATAGATAATCAGCCTTTGGGTCATTCGGTCATTCTCTTATTACAACCCCCTCCTGCTCTCTCTGATCTCCTTTCAAACTAAATTTCACACAAACAAATAAAGCAAGACAGGGACAAGTTCTTACAAAGAAGAGGGAGAAATATTAG